CAGAACGGCTTTGTTTTAGGAAGTACTTAAGGGGTAAGGAAACATGATGTCTGCAAACTACTTTTAAAAGACACAGAAAGAAAATGTGTATCTACATCTAAGTGTGTATGTGTGTGTGTATCTATGGCTATTTCTCTACAGAGAGAAAATGATAAAGCAAACGTGACAAAATGGACTGGGCGTGGTGGCTCATGCCTGTAATCCCAATATTTTGGGAGACTGAGGCAGGAGGATCGCTTGAGCTCAGAAGTTCCAGCTCAGCCTGGGCAACAGTGGGAACCCATCTCTACAAAAAAATCAAAACATTAGCCAAGCGTGGTCGCACGCACCTGTAGTCCCAGCTACTCAGGAGGCTGTGGTGGGAGGATTGCTTGAACCTTGGAGGTTGAGGCTGCAGTGAGCCATGATCGCACCACTGCATCCAGACTGGGCAACAGTGTGAGACTCTGTCCCCAAAAAAAGAAAGAAAGAAAGGGCTAGGGAAGGCTGGGCACGGTGGCTCACACCTGTAATCCCAGCACTGCACTCTGGGAAGCTGAGGTGGGAAGATCGCCTCAGGTCAAGAGTTCAAGACCAGCCTGGCCAACATGGCAAAACCCCATCTCTACTAAAAATACAAAAATTAGCCAGGTATGGTGGCGCACACGTATAATCCCAGCTACTCAGGAGGCTGAGGCAGCAGAATGACTCCAATCCAGGAGGCAGAGGTTGCAGTGAGTCGTGATTGCGCCACTGCACTCTAGCCTGGGTGACAGAGTGAGCCTCTTTCTCAAAAAAAAAAAAAAAAGAAAGAAAGGGCTAGGGAAGCTACGGGAGGGGCAGAGGATGTGTACTGTATGTGTTGTGGGGAGTGCGGGGGAAGGAGTTGGAGTCAAGCGGGGGCGGGGGGTACACTCACACAGATGGCGTTGATGTCCGACTCGTGGCCAGTGAAAGTCTGACGGCAGGTCCCCTCTCGCACATCCCAGAGCTTGGCGCTGGCATCACAGGCCCCCGAAATGAAGAGATTGAAGTCAGGAGACACAGCCAGGCTCATGCAGTCACCCGTGTGTCCCACAAATACAGTCTTCTGCTGCCCAGTCTCAATGTCCCACAAGGCACTGCCAAAAGGGAGGGAGACTGTTAGAGAAAGGCCAGGCCAGGCCCACTCCCAAGCCCCAGCACCAGCAACGTTCAGCCTCACCACGTGGTGTCCCCCGAGCTGGTCACAATATTGTTGTCATCCAGGAAGCGGCAGCAGGAGAGATAACCTGGAGGTGGTTAGAAGGACAGTGCCCTGGCTGCACAGCCACAGCCCACTGGAAACCCAGGATTCTCTGAACCCCTCAGGAGGGGAGGAGAGGGTCTCTCCCTCACCTGTGTGAGCAGAAAGCTCCCGGCTGACCTTGACATTGCCCTCACGGGATTTGAGGTTGTAGATAGAACACATGTTGTCCAGCCCCCCACATGCCACAAAGTTCCCTGATGGGGCATAGGCACAGGTCATCACCCAGGAGGAGCGCAGTGGGATGGCATGCACCTACAGGGAGGGTGGTTTGATCAGAGATGGCACCGGAGCCAAGCTCCCAGCTGGGCAGAGGAGGGTAGGCATAGCGCCCCAGGAAGGATGCGGCGGTGGAGGCTCGGGGAGGCAGGGCTGGTACCTTGTTGGTGGTGTAGCTGTCCCACACGATCAGCTTCCCATCTTGCGAGGCACTTACCAGCAGCCTGGGGAGAGGGCATCCCATATTACACAAGCCTCTCCTTCCCGCCTTCCTCACTCCCGCTCTCGCCCTCCCATTCTCGGTTCCCCCCAAAGCCTCACTTGGAGTCAGTGGCCCAGTGCATGGCATAGATCTTGGCCAGGTGCCCCCTTAACGTCCGCCGTGTCCGCATCTGGACTCGTCCCACCACCTCTAGGCCAGACACCAGCTGCAGAGAGAGGGGCATTGAATATCGGGGTGAGCAGGTTACATGCCCGGATGTCTGTCACTGATCTATACAAGTTCCTGCTCTGTGCCAGGCTCCAGGTCAGGCCCCCAGCCTTAGAGAAATAAGCCTCTGTCCTGGAGTGTCTTAGACTGATGTGGGACAGAGATGCATGCATGGCCAGGGGTGTGCTGCTAAGTGTTTAACAAGCACCTCTCCAGTGTTGGTGAGGAAGGTGGGAAGGTGATTTCCGTGATATGAATACTTGCACGTTGACCAATTTCAAGCTGCCAATGTGAGGTCATTGGAAACAGATTTGGGAAGAGATGCACACGGTTGGCTCTTCCAAGCTGAGAGGAGCCTGCCGTCAGCCACCACTGCAGCAGGGCTAGCTTTTTAACTGGGTGCCTGGGGCATCACCGTTACCCTGAACCGCACCTCCGGAAATTTGTGGTACTATGCCCCTTGAGCTCTAACCAGATTTTAGACTTAGGCTGGGGGTCCACAGTGAACAGACTTGATTTGCCATCACTTGCTTTGTTATCTTTTTTTAGAAAAATTAAAAACAATGTTTTTATATGAAGATGAGATCTCACTCTGTTGCCCAGGCTGGTCTCAGACTCCTGAGCGTAAGCGATCCTTCCACGTCAGTCTCCCAAAGTGCTGCGATTACAGGCGTGAACCACTACGCCCGGCCTGCTTTGTTATCTTGGGCAAGTTACCTCACCTCCCTGAGTCTGTTTAGTGAAGGTGTAAAATGAGGCTTATCACAGCACCTACCTTACAGAGATATCATGAAATTAAATGAAATTAGGTATTTATGCAGCTTAACCCAGTATCTGGCTCATAAAAAGTCTTCACTGTTAACATATTTAATCCAATCTAAGACGCATCACTAAGAATAAAAGATGCTGCCAATTCTAATTGAAACGATGATCCATTGTTGAATGCATCTTGATTTCAGAGATGTCAAAATGTGAAGAAATGTGCATCTTAGAATTGATAAAATACAGTAGAGAACACCAGCAATTAGAGTCTACAAGGGCTTTCTCATTTACAAAGTACTATCGCCTCTTCATCTTCAAGGCCCTGGGAGGGGGCTGTGGTGACTCTTGTCCTATGGACAAGAATAGGAACCGTGTCTGCATCTTTCCCATCCAATATGGTGCCTGGCTCAGAGCAGGTCCCACTAAATGTTGGCTGAATGAATTAATTAATGGGTTTCCTCACTCCAAGGACAGGCTGTACTAACGCTCGGAGCAACGGGCTATTGCAGCTCAGGGAGCTCCCTTCCCCTCCCGCAATGCCCTGCCTTAGGCGGGGACAGGGGGTCTTACCTCTGCCAGAGTAACGTCAGCACAGGCTTTCCTGGCATCCTGCAGGGAAAGCAGACATCAGGGGAGCAAGGGCAAGGTGGGGGTGGTGGGTGCATGGGCCTTCAGGGCAGGTTGGGCTTGGGGCACTGGGGCTTGGGGGTCTCAAATATGCAAGCCAAGTTTAGAAAGTCCCTGGTCACTTCTAGTCACTCAAGAGCAAACCCAGTCCCCTCCCCCTGAGCCACACTCCCTCATGTCCCCAGCTCTTTTCTGGGGCCCCAGTGGGAGGGCTCTGGAGTTACTGCAATCTGCTTCTTGAGCTGCTCCGCTTCCTGACGCAGTTGCTCCATCTCCCCCATGGCTGACAGGTCGAGGGGTAGCTCTGGCTCCTGCCAGGAACATGGGGTCCGTGTTGAGAAACCCCCACCAGGCTGTGCTTCTGCCCTTCATGCCCACACCAGACTCCAAGACACAGGGCAATGCCTGGGTGGCTGCACCCCCTCCCCAGCTAGGCTCTCCAAGTTTGAGGGTCCTTTGCCTCCAGCCCCAGCCTGCCTGAGCCCTGCCTGCGCCCCAGCCCAGGAGAGCAGAGCCCAGGCCAGCTCCCTCTTACTTGGGCTCTGGCTGGACCTCGGCGGGGTTTCCAGCTCCGGTTCCTGGGAGCCTCCTTACTCCCTCAGCTGCGACGCTTGCGGCCGCCCGTCACCTGCCCAGGCTCTGCTGCCAGAGGAGCTGGCCTGGCCTGGCTCCGACCGGTGGGGGGTTGGGGGGGCCTGACAGGGAAGGGTAGAGCCAACCACAACGTCAGGCAAATGAAATCAGCTGGCAGGGGTGGGGGGAAGAGGACAGGGAGGGAGGGAGGTGTGTGGCTTCCAGAGAGACTTGGGCCCAGCCTGGAGGAGGGGTGGGGGCGGGAGTGTGGGGCCGTAGAGAGGAGCAGCCCCCACCACAAGCCCTGAGAGGGGAGGGGGTGAAGGGGCGCTTCCCTGGTCAGTCTCTGCAGGCAGAGATAAGAGCATCAGGCCCCATGGGATTAGAGCAAAGCTGTGAGTAGATTAAGGGTTGGGGTTTGGGAGGGGTGCAAAGGAGCAGAAGCAACTACAGCTCCAGTGGCCACCCCGGTCCGGGCCCCCATCCGTGGTGATGATCTCAGCAGTCAGGGCCACTTAGCAAGCAGGCCAGAAGGCGGGATATAAGGGTGATAGATGGCCCCGTTGTCAGTACCTCAAACTGTGCTCCTTAGCTCAGGGTGGTGGGGAAGAGGGTTTGGTGAGTATGGGAGGGTACAGGCAGGAGCTGAGATTAGAAAGGACTGATCTGGATAATCCTTCTTCTCGACAAACCCCAACCAGCTGCCTCTGGGTCTGATCCTGTGGGGGGAGAAAGGTACAGGGGACCCACAGAGAACGATGGACAGGTCTGCCCCTGTTGTGGGTGGGCAAGGGAAGCCCCGCACCCTGCTCCCAGGCTGGGGCCTCGCCCCCTCCTTGCCCTCTTGCGGCTGTGAAAGCAGGAGTCAGAGAGAAAGCAGGCGGCCCTAAGTCTCAGCAAAAGCTCCGAGAGGGAAGACAGGGCTTAGACTTGGAGGCCTAAGGAGCAGCTGCCAGGGGCTTGGGTGATTTGCATGAGGGGAGCAGGTGGCTGAGATTTCCCTGACAAATCACAGGCTCCAGGGGCCCCGCCTCTGGGAGGCCCAAAGACACCTGTCTCCTCCCAGGCCAGCCAGAGCCACCCCCACCTCCAGCTATCACGGAATCTGTGATACACTCGACTGGCCCCTGGCTGAGGGATCTTCATGACCTTTATTGCACAGACTGGGAGAGAGCAGCAGGGTTATGCCCCCAACCCCACCATCCTCTTCATTTAAAGCATCAGCCTCCTCCCCTGCCATTTCCGTTCAGGGAGGCACAGTGTTCCCCATCTGTCCGGGGCTGCAGGTCCGGCAGCTGGGCCCAGTCCCGGCTCCCCAGCCCTGGTGAGCTCCAGGCTACCCTGTGCATTGTCCTCTGAGTCCAGGCCCTTGTGGGTCCCCAAGATGGTGGGGGTGCAGGGACAGAGAGCTCGCTGTTCTGCTCCTGATGTCACGCAGGGGCTTTCTGTGGGTCCTGGCATCAAGACGGCCTTGCACAAGTCAAGTGGCCCCATCCTCAAGGAGCTGGCTCAGCCACTCACAGCTCCTCCTGAACCCGAGGTGCCTTTCCAGCCTTGTCTTGGACCCTCTGGTGCCTGCGGCTAGGGGGCTCTGGGGAAGGGTCTTTGCTGGGCATTTCTTCCTCTTCCTCCTCCTCCTCCTCTGACTCCTGCAGCAGTTCTTTGGCTTCTATCCACTCCTGGGGTTGGGGAGGAGAATGTGGCCAGTTCCCTGCACCCATCTTCCCTGGGCCAGCTCAGCCCCTGCCCCTCACCGACTGTGAGCCTTCTCAGGGGTGCCTGCCCACCCTTCACGCACCAGGAGAACCACATCCCTTCCTACCCCACTCCTTACCTGCTCCCTGTGCTCAGGTGCCCATGTGTGCCACAGCGCCAGGGCACAGCGCCGTCCCCGAGTCACGGCCCACACCCCATGGGGATTCTCCCCACCGGAGCTGAAGGCTACAAGGCGTCCACAGCGAGGACGCACCCGAGCCTGGGGGGATGAGGGCAGGTTCAGCTCCAGGGACCGGCTCTCTCAGAGAACTTGGCCCTCACTCCCTAGAGCAGGATGGGGACAGGGGCACAGAGAGGGTCAGCCCTCTCGCTATCACTTCCCACTCCTTAATTCAGGGACTAGCTTGGGGCGAATGGGAAATCAGCTTCAACTTGCAGAGCAAAAATGCCAGATTAAGGCAAGAGGAGTTGGAAACCAAAGGAAAAAGGGGTCTCCATGGAGGGTCTCCTGTTGGTTCCTGACCCCCAGTACCCTGATTTTTCCAACTCAGCCCTTTGAACCCAGGATGTGAAGCAATCTGGGGGCGGGCATGCAGTACTAGACTCTGTGTAGAAGGGGATATGGATATTGGAGCCATTTTCACACCCCACACCCAGATGAAAAATCACTGCCCCTCTCCTCCTACCCAATCCTAGCCCCTGGCATCTAGAAATTTCCCACTTAACAGTCATTAATTGCTTATTATTACCAGGCACTGCCTCATTCTTTTAGGTACATTACCTAAATTACTTCCTACAATGACCCTTTAAAATAGGTACTATTGCCCAGGCGCGGTGGCTCAAGCCTGTAATCCCAGCACTTTGGGAGGTTGAAGCGGGCAGATCACGAGGTCAGGAGATCGAAACCATTCTGGCTAACACGGTGATACCCCGTCTCTGCTAAAAATACAAAAAATTAGCCGGGCGTGGTGGCAGACGCCTGTAGTCCCAGCTACTTGGGAGGATGAGGCAGGAGAACGGCATGAACCCGGGAGGCAGAGCTTGCAGTGAGCCAAGATCGCGCCACTGCACTCCAGCCTGGGTGACAGAGCGAGACTCTGTCTCAAAAAAAAAAGAAAAAGAAAAAGAAAAATAGGTACTATTATTATCACCTCAATTTAGGAAACTAAACCTCAGAAAGGTTAAGAATGTGAGCCCCAGTCGAGGTGGCCCTGGTATCTGTGCGCCAGCCACTGTGCTCATCTCACTGCAAAGAGGAAGGACTATTTCAAGTTCCCCAAATCCCTAGAATAGGGCCATGGAGTCCTGGAGGCACCTGCAAGCTGTGCTTCATTCCCCCTTCTTTAGGAGGTGAGACGAATAGTGATGGCAGGGTTGGGGGGCCCACCTGCAGACCTAGCTACGGAGGAAGCAGCGCGAGGGCTGGGGAGGCAGGGAAGTGAAAGGGTTAAAAGCACTGGCCATTTCCCTGCATTTGCCTCTGGAACCTTCTGTTTTGAATCCTGACCCCACAGCTGGGCCCTCTGTCACACCGTCACACCCCCCACTCCACGCACCGTGACAGTGAGGGCGTTGGGCTCCGTGAAGAACAGGTCCCCACCCTGGAAGTCATCGTTGAGGTAGAGGAGTCCACTGCGGAGGGAAAAAGGCAAGACACAGTGAGACCCCAACCCAGGCCCAGGCCGGCAGTGGGATGACCTTTGTCTGCCCACCTGCCTGACCCCTAGAGGGGCTGCCCACCTGTAGTCCCGATAGGTGTAGGCTGGGGGCTCCCGCCAGCACTCTCCTGTGTCGGGGTCCAGGACGCAGTTGTCTGCGTGCACTGGGTGACTCAGGTCCATGCGCTGCTCTTGCTCTCCTAGGACACAAAGGAGTCTGGGGCTACCTCTGTGCCCCTGTGGGCTCATGCCATGCACATCCACCCTGGGGCTCTTGGGGGCAGTGTCCTGGGGGCAGGGCCTGAGCTTGGAGAAGAGCAGTGGGGGTCCCTGTCATACCTTCTATGGCGCTGCGGCACACCAGGTGGGTGAAGGACAGATGCAGGGGCCGTTCCGGGGAGAAGTAGGCCTGGGTCAAGGTCCGCACCCGCTCGCTCACCTCCAGAAGCAGCTTAGCACCCTGACTGCCCACTGTCCCAGCCCGGGCCAGCTGCAGGCAGCGAAAGGCAGCAAAGAAACGGAGGAAGGCAATGGGAAGGTGGTCTCAGCCCTAGCTCCTGCCCATCTCTGCTGCTCTCCACCCGGAGGTTTGGAGTCTCTCAGCATCCAGCTCTGTCCATCAGCCCAAACTGCTCCTTCTGTCTTTCCATGACAACAACCCTGGCCCCTGCTCTCAGAACATCCCTTTTCTCCATGCTGGGTCCTATCAGGTAGTCTCGGTCCCAAGAAAGCTCCTTCACAAAAGCCCAGGCCCTGGGGCCCGGCTTCCTGCACAGCCTCTCCTCCAGGTCTGGGCATCAGATGGACCCAGGTGCCTCCTGTGCTCACCTGTGCAGCCTTAAGCACTGTGAGCCCCTCGAAGCGTTCATGGGGGGTGTGAGGGGAGCGGCGACCACGATAGCCAGACCTGGCTCCAGCCCCAGCTGCATCCTAAATAGGGAGGAGTTTACCGTGGTGTCACTCCCCCAGCCCCTCACTGTCTGCAGGGCTGCAGACCCTCCCTCCGGCCCTCCCGCTCCCAGAAGAAGCTAGATGCTCCCACAGTTCTGTTGCAGCTCCTCTTCCTGAATGCTGCTCCTTCCCAGAGAGTGCCCCCCGCCACGGCTGGCCGACTGTCCCTCTCTAGTACAGGCTGGAATCCTGCTTACCAAGGGGACTGTGGACAGAACTCGGGAGAGCTTCCTACAGCAGTAAGGGGGCCTCTGAGAGGGTAGGGACAGCTGGGAAAGTGGGGCAGAGCTGGGAACTAGGCAGGAAGGGCTTGATCATTAATCCCTGATGAGCCAAGAATAGAGGAGTCTCTCTGGAAACAGGACCCTAACAGGAAGTTCCACAGTTAGGCCAGGTCCTGGCAGGAAGCTGACTGGCGGTAGGGCGACAGCATCAGCGGGCTATCCCTCTCTGACCTCTTCCCACCTGACATTCTCTCGGGGAAACTGTGGACTCCGTGGCTCCCCCACTCCTTGATACTGAGTCACAATTACCCAGCCACCTATGCGACCAGTCTCACTACCTGGAGGTCTCCTAATATTTCGATGTCTACACTGGAATCATTCCCTTTTCTGACACCCATTTTTTTGTCCACTTTTTGAATCTGTTTAAGCACCACTATCTAGTTACCCCCGCATACAAATCTCACTTCTGAGAGACACCGAGTCACCCAAGCCATCTAACCTGGGTTTTTTGTTTTTTGCTTTTGAGACCGGGTCTTGCACTATCGCCCAGGCTGGGGTGAGTGGCGTGATCATAGCTCACTGCAATCTCCACCTCCCAGGCTCCGGAGATCCTCCCACTTCAGCCTCCCAAGTAGGTGGGAGAATATAGGTGCATAGGCCCAGCTAATGTTTTGTATTTTTTGTAGAGATGGGGTTTTACCACAATGCTCAGGCTGGTCTGGAACTCCTGAGCTCAAGCCATCCACCCGCCTCAGCCTCCTGAAGTGCTGGGATTACAGGTGTGAGCCACCTCGCCAGCCAACAGTGGCACTCGTCAATTACTCCGTTCTCGCGGTCTTTTCTCCTGCTGCATTCTACGCACTGCCACTAGAGGGATCTACCACTTCTACAGGTTACTCCAGACCCTGCTCTTGGAGGTTCTACAGGAATGCAAAAGTCAACCGCTCCTAAAATCCTTCAGTAGCTGTCTACCATACACAGATAAAGTCCCAACTCCTTGGGAGGCCACAGAAGACCCTCACTGTCCCTGGGCCTTCATGTCTGGGCTCTCTCCCTCTTCCCCTATACTGCCTCTTGGTAACATACACCCTGATGATTCTATGTTCTTAATTAATTAATTTTTTTAAAAAAATTTATTTTTCGAGATGGAGTTTTGCTCTTGTTGACTAGGCTGGAGTGCAATGGCAGGATCTCGGCTCACTGCAACCTCTGCCTCCTGGGTTCAAGTGATTCTCCTGCCTCAGCCTCCCCAGTAGTTGGGATTATAGGCACCTGCCACCATGCCCACTAATTTTTTTGTATTTTTAGTAGAGACCGGGTTTCACCATGCTGGCCAAGTTGGTCTTGAACTCCTGACCTCAAGTGATCCACCTGCCTTGACCTCCCAAAGTGCTGGGATTACAGGCATGAGCCACCACACCCAGCCAGTGATGATTCTATGTTCTAAGAGCTTTACCATGTGCTAACTCATTTAATCCTCACAACACTATGACAAAAACACTATTATTATCCCCATTTTATAGATGAGCAAACTAGGTTCAGAGATATTAAAATAAATTGCCCAAGATCACACAGGTAATGACTATTGGAGCTGGCACTGCTCTCACCCCTGTGCTTGACTGCAGTTCCCAGAATGCACCTTGCTCTTGTCCCTCTTAGACTGATTCCACGCCCCCATCGCCTGGTTAACTTATCCTTAAGACTGAGCTCAAACACCACCTCTCCAGCAAGCCTTCTGTAACTGCGCATTTCAGCACTTCTATCTGGATGAGTACATTTTTTTTTTTCTTTTGAGACAGAGTTTCGCTCTTGCTGCCCAGGCTGGAGTGCGATGGCACAATATCAGCTCACCACAACCTCCACCTCTCAGGTTCAAGCGCTTCTCCTGCCTCAGCCTCCCAAGTAGCTGGGATTACAGGCATGTGCCACTATGCCTGGCTAATTTTTTTGTATTTTTAGTAGAGACGGGGTTTCTCCGTATTGGTCAGGCTGGTCTCGAACTCCCAGCCTCAGGTGATCCACCCGCCTCAGCCTCCCAAAGTGCTGGGATTACAGGCATGAGCCACCGCACCCAGCCCAAGTACATACTTCTTTTACCAAACTTACCACCTGCTTATATGATGTATTTCCTTGTCTGTTCCACCTCTACACTGGAGCTCCCAAAGGGCGGAGTCTATAATCATCTTCCTCTCCCTAGAACCTAGCAGTTTCTGGGGTACAGCAGCTACTCAATGAGTATGTTACTGAATGAGCACTAACCTGAGATAAGGTTTGAAGCTTCATAAATGGTAGCCTCAACCTGGTGAGTATGAGTCATTCAGCCCAAACTAGAAGGAGGGAAAGAAAGGCCTGCGTGTCTGCTGAGCCATCAGTCAAGCCAGTAACTAAACTCTTGGCTAACCAAGCAATCCTTACCTGCACACTCATCCATTTTTATGCCTTTGTGGTTTTTGTTTTGTTCTTCCTATCAATTTCTAGCAAAATTCGTAAAATTTGTAAAGAACATCCACCTGTGTCAGCTAAATTAAGACACGAAGGAACTTATCTGCAGCTGAGAGGCAGTGGTAACCACAGTCCCGGTTGGATAATCAGGACAGGCAGAACAAGGGGGGCAGGCCAAGAGCAAGGGAACAGGCAGTTGTACCCAAGGGTCTTGAACGAGCTGATGAACTTGCAGGTCTTCCTACCTTAGCCAGCTGCAGCAGCACCCCACACTCGGCTGGGGTGAGCAGCCCATCCAACACCGCCCGCTCCGACCCATTTAGCTGCCTGGAATCCTGGGTCAAGGTCACACCCTCCAGGAGAAGGACATCTGCCAGGGAAAAGACAGAGCAGAGGTGGCTGAGCAACCCCTAAGGGCAGGCAGAGCAGTAGCTGGCAGCCCCCAGACCCTCCAGGCTCCTGTCTCCTCCCTCCCAGGAACTCACCCTTCCAGTAGGTCAAGGGCTTTGGCTTCGGGGGCTCATGGTCCCAAGGCCTCTTCTCTTGATCCTCTCTCAGGGGTGAGAGATGTGCTCAGTGGGTGCACAGGACAGTCCAGACCCAGCCTCCCAGCTCAGGCCGAGTGCCTCCCACCACAGGGCATCTCCTACCTGAGCTTTTCTCTAAGGGCCTCAGGGATGAGAGCTGCAGGGGTCCAGGGGTCCTGTGACAGTCCAGAAAAGCATCATCATCCACCAAGATCAGACCCTGGGATCCCTGACATTAGAGCTGAAATATCTCGTTAAGGTCCTCCTGTTTCCAGAGAGGGAGACGGAGGTAGGAAGAGCCTGAGAATCAATGTCAGGCGCCCTGGGCAGTGGACCAAACTCTGTAACAAGTACAACTATAACTCCTATAGCACTTACTATCTATCGGCTGGGGGCTATTCTAAGAGCTTCATTCATGGAAATTGAATTTCTCCTTTAAAGTTCACAATAGTTTCATGAAACAGACAATATTAAAGTGCTCATTTTGTCATTGAGAGCCCTGAAATATGGAGAAGTAAAGTAACATGCTCAAGATCACACAGCTAGAAGTGACAGAGTTACTTTTTTGTTTGGTGGTTTTTTTTTTTTTTTTTTTTTGAGACAGAGTCTCACACTGTCGCCCAGGCTGGAGTGCTATGGTGCGATCTCAGCTCACTGCAACCTCTGCCCCCCGGGTTCAAGTGATTCTCTTGCCTCAGTCTCCCAAGAAGCTGGGATCATAGGCACCCGCCACCACGCCTGGCTAATTTTTTGTATTTTCAGTAGAGACAGAGTTTCACTATGTTGGCCAGGCTGATCTTGAATTCCTGACCAAGGCCCACTTCAGCCTCCCAAAGCAGAGTCAGGTTTTAAACTAGCCTCAGGCCAGGTGCAGTGGCTCACGCCTGTAATCCCAGTACTTTGGGGGGCCGAGGCAGGTGGATCACCTGAAGTCAGGAATTCAAGACTAGCCTGGCCGACATGGTGAAACCCCGTCTCTACTAAAAATACAAAAATTAGCCAGGGAAGGTGGTGGGCACCTGTAATCCCAGCTACTCGGGAGGCTGAGGCAGAAGAATCACTTGAACCTGGGAGGTGGAGGTTGCAGTGAGCCAAGATCACACCATTGCCCTCCAGCCTGGGTGACAGAGTGAGACTCTGTCTCCAAAAATTAAAATTAAAATTAAAAAATTAGCTTCAGAGTTCTCACTTTTAACCAGTGGTTCTCAAGCAGGATACTTCTGCCCCCCAGGGGTCAATTAAGCAAAGTCTGGAAACATCATTGATTGTCATGACTCAGGGGCTGTCAATGTGCTATTGATCTCTACTGGGTAGAGACCAGGGAAGCTGCTGAATACCCTCCAAGGCATAGGACAGGCCCTGCCCTCTGCCCCAACAAAGCATTATCCAAAATGTCAGATCCAAAATATCAGTAGTGCCAGGAAGGCTGAGAACGCCTGCTTTATGCCCTAGTCCTAGCCACAGATAACCTCTGCCCCGCAGTTTCCTCTCATAACTACAAGAAGAGAAATAAAAGCAGCAGTAACAAAGCTTTCTATGTTGTTATCAAATGATGTGGTTTCAACAACCCTGTGATAACCCTGTGAAATAGATGTGATTATTCCAACTTACAGGTAAGGAAGTTGAGGCAGAGGCAAGTTGAAGTTCAGAGACGTTTGGGGCAGAGGAGGACTGACACTTAGGCCTGTGTGACCCCAAAGCTGCCCTAACGACAGGCACACTGTCTCTGTCCCTGTAAAACTGGGATGGCAGACTCTTCTCCAAGCCTCATGGTGGAAAAGTGGAAAACTCTGTTGCAAACCAAAGTGCCATCCCTCCTGCGAGTGCGGAGGGGTGGGATGGGACAGAAGCAGAATGACTCACAGGATCCTTGAAGCTGGCCCCCAGGTGCTCCATGGCATAGTAGAGCTGCCTCTTCTCCCCCAGGGATCGGAGGATGAAGCGTTGGATGTCCTGAGGGTGAGATGATGAGCAGTGAAGGGGGGCTGAAGGAGGGCAGGGAAACCCAGGCTCTAGGGCACTGCCTGGGTGCTCCATGCTCCCTGAACCTGGCACCATGCCCCCTGGTTCCTCCGTTCAACGTTCCCCCTCAGCAGCTTCAGAGCGTCTGGGCTCAAACTGGAAAGGGTGTAGGGGGTGGGAGTGTGTGTGAGTGTGTGGGGGTGTGTGTGCATGAGCTCGGGGGCTGGTGGCAGGCAGGAGTGAGGTAAAGGCAAGAGAGATGGGACTGAGGGCTAGAATCGGAACTCCAGGCTGCCGTGGGGAGCAGGGAGTGGAGATGGAAGTCGGATGCTGGACTTGGAGTCCTCTGGGTGACTAGAATGCTTGGCTAAGAGGTCAGCAGGGGGTGGGGGTCCAGGTTACTTCTCAGGTCTATTTGTTTGATTTGGGGCTACCTCCCAGGTACGTGTGGAGAGGGGGTTACCTCTCTGGGTCCGAGGCCAGGTCTCGGCTCTCCCAGCTGGACCTGGTACTGGTTCAGAGCCCTCTTGGCAGCCTCATCGTCCGGGTAGAAGAGCAGGACACTCAGGACATTTTCTATTGCCTGGGACAGATTGCCCACTGGAGAGGGAGTGACAAGGTCAGGGGTCAGGGGATAAAGACTTAGAGCACACTGATCCCTGGGGCAGAGGCAGTGCTGGAGAAGGTGGTCTCCAGAGGCCAGCCGGCCAACTCCAAGAGCCCCCCTCCCACAGACAAGTTCAACTGCCGGTTCTTTCAAACGCTGGTGCAAACATACCTTAGCTGGAGATTTCAAAGAAGAGCAAGAGGGAGGAAAATAAAGGAAGGTGAGAAGCAGCAAGGCAGAAGGAAGCCCATCTCCTGAGCTTGTCACAGGCGCCAAAGGAGAGCAAATTAGAGTCCTTGTGAAGTGATGGTTCCCACTGGAGCCCTGACAGTGAAACTACAAATCCAGAGACAGATGGGAGGGATAGAGAGATGGAGCTCAGGATAGCAGCAGAGGCAAATCTTCACTCCGCGTTTCCACCCTTCCCAAACTGACCCTGAGCATGGGCCTCATGTAGCCGCCTCAGCTGGCTGGGAAGGAAGTCTGGGACAGGGAAGCTGCGACCAGGGCGTGTGGCTGTTTCCCCTACACAGCGTTGCCGGCACTGCAGGACCTGAATCCAGTGTCCTGCAGAGGAGACCCATGAGCCATTCAGCTTGTTCATGCCCCTCCCTGGGCACCGACCCACCCCCCACACACACTCCCAGCCCCGTACTTGCAATGGCCTCATAGAGGCCCCCCTGGCTCCCAGCCCCATCCTCCTCTTCTTCAGCCCCCTCCTGCTCCTCAGGCCCCTGGCAGTCAGCACGGCAGCTCTCCATCTGGGCCAGGCTCCCCTGCAGGGCCTCCTCTAGCCTGGGCAGTGCCAGTCCTGCCTCCTGGCGCTCCAGTAGCTCCAGGCCGGTGTCATAGGCTGCCTGTTGGGGAAGGGAGCAGTCACCTGAGATCCAGGGGGTTGCCAAACTGGGAGGTAGAGAGGAGAGCGGTGTTGGTCTCATTTGGGGCAAGGACTCCATGTCCCTCTTCACCATGGAGAAGAATAAGGGTGGGCCTCAGAATCGTAATGTTGGAACATCAGATTTCAGCGATCGTCCAGGAAGGAAAGGAAGTCCTAGAGAAGGACTCCCCACCAGGGTCACTGAGGATCATTACCCCATCTCCGTATGCTGAAGCAGCACAATGCAGCAGTTTAGTGAGGCCTGTGTATCCAGCCAGGAAAAGGCTGGGGGCAAGACGGGGTGGTGCTGGGGGTCTCACCCAGTGGGGCGGCGTCTCCAGGTCCCGGAAGCTCTGGGGCTGAACTCCCGACATTCGTCTGTACTTAGCCATGTCCTCTCGCATCTGCAGGTGCATAGGGTTTGCTACAAAGAAGGTGTGTGCTGCGGCGGCTGCCAGATCCAGCTTCTTCAACTGAGGAGGCGGAGGGAGGAGGGCATCAGAGCCCTGGGATGGAGGTCACACCTCTGCTCCCTGGCCGGCCTCCCCACCCTACCCCAGACACACACTCTGGGTGCCCAAGAGCCTCATGGAAGACTGGCCAATAAGAACCGCCCACCGCCCAAATTGCAGACCCCCTAGAAGCCAGAACATTGGGACTCTCAGAAGGCTGACACCGAAGGAAAGGGGGTCTAAAGACGTAGGAGTTGGGTGGGACCTGGGCCTCAGGACTTCAGGCCCTCAATTTGGGAGACCAGGTGGAAGTGATGGGCTTAAGTGAGGTGGGGAAGCGGGGGAGACCTCAGCGTCCAGCAAAACCCGCAGGTCTCTAGGACCCTGAGCTGAGGTGAGTGCAACCGGCGCCCCGCTTCCCCAGCCACGTAGGCAACTGCTGCGGTACCGGCGGCTGCGGCGTGCTGTCCCCTCCCCGCCCGCAGAGGTCTGGCCTCGGAGGCCTCCAACCTTGCCTCCGTCTGCTCCTTCCTTTCCGAAGCTACCTCCTGCCCCAAGCGAAGGTTCACACTCACCACCACCCCCGACACACACACACCCACGCACACTTCCCGTCCGACAGCCGGTTTCGCCCCCACCGCCTCCGCTTCATTCCTAGGAAGAGGCGGCCCTGTCCCTCCATCTTCGATCTGCTCCCGACCCGCCTCACGACCTCCCCGCCCCATTCCCACTCTGCTCGCACTCCCCCTCGGCTGCTCTTCCGCGATCTCAACAGGTCCTCGCGGTTGCTTAGCCAGCTCCAAAGCAGAGGCCGGCGGTACGCCCCCCAGCCCCGTCCGGGGTCCGGGCAACAGCATTCCGCCTACTACTGGGCATCGAAAGTAGGACAGCGTCGTGGTGAGGGCTGGGACCCTCGGAGCTGCCCGGCCCGCTCCCCACCTGGTAATAGGCCCTCTGCAGGTAGTTGTAGGGCTCCCGACGGCGGAAGGCGTCCCGGAGCGTGCTCCCCACGCGAAGCCGC